GCATGTTTCATCCATCAAGGCAGCAAGTCTGGCGTCAAGGAACCCCAGCAAAATCGGTGTCAATGGGAATCGGGGGAAACTCTCCAATAGTTGAAGTCATACTTAGCACATAAGAAGATGTTTGTGATTGTTGGAGTGAAAATGCTGGAGATCACAGTGGGTCAGGCAGCATCCATAGAGAGAAAGCCATACAGATTCCAGCATCTGCAGTAATTTGCTCCTACATTGTGATTGTTGGAGGCTAGTCATCTCAGCTCCAGGATATTGCTGCAGAAGTTCAGCCATCTTCAGCAGCTTCATCAATGACCTTCACTCTGTCACAATGTTAGAACTGGAGATGTTTACTGATGATTTCACAATGTACAGCACCATTTGTGACTCCTCAGACTGAAACAGACCATACATATGCAATTGCAACTAGACCTAGATAACATTCAGGCTTGAGCTGAATAGTGGCAAGAAATATGGTGCTGGACAAATGTCAGACAAAGACCGTCTCCAATAAGACTTTTAACCACTACCCCTTGACATTTCATTACCATTAATGAATCTATTAATGAATAATGAATATCAAGAACCAGGGGGTTACCATTGAACAGACACTGAACTGGACTTGCTATATAAATATAGTGGCTACAAGAGCAGGTTACGGGTGAGGAATACCGTAGTGAGTCACTCACCTCTTGATTCCCCAAACGTTGTCCACTATCTACTAGGCACAAGTTAGGAGCATGATGGAATACCCCCCACTAGCCTGGATAAGTGCAGCTCCAACAACACTCAAGAATCCAGGACAAAACAGCCCGCTTAATTGGCACCACATCCACAAACACTCCGCCAACAGATGCTCAGCATCAGCAGTTTGTACTACCTACAAGATGCACTGCAGAAATTCGCCAAGGTTCCTTAAACAGCACTTTCCAAGAACATTATCAATTCCAACTAGAAGAACAAGGGCAGCATATATGTGGGAACAACACCACCACCCTCCCAGCCTGATCATTAGCAACTCCTTTGTCTGTCCAACTGTCTTTCTCTCTCTTTGGGCTCTATCCTATCGTTTACTCCCTACCCCACCCACCTCCCTATTTTCTGCATATAAACTGACGTTTTCCCACCACCATCAGTTCTGAGGAAGGGTCACCAGACCCGAAACGTTAACTCTGTTTTCTCCTTCACAGATGCTGCCAGACCTGCTGAGCTTTTCCAGCAACTTTGTTTTTGTTCTTGATTTACAGCATCCACAGTTCTTTTGGTTTTTATTTTGTAATTTTTATTCTGTTGAGTTTGCTGGTTCCATAGACATTATAATTAAGATTTAAAGTGCTGGCAGCACACAAGAGAACAGGTGATCTTGTGGCAGGGGAAACTGTCCAGTGCTTGACAGTAGCTGATAATGTAGTCAGTATGGGAAGGATAATGAACAGTCTTATGGACAAATAGGAAGCTTTTCATCTAGGTAACTGCTTTCCTGCCCATTGTTGTTAACATAAACATATTGAGAGCAAAAAGGTGGAACAGATCTTTTTCAAATTTAATTTTCACGTAAATATTAAATTGGTTTCACTTTATTGTTGTGATTGTATTTGTTCAGGTTAACTAAGTCGGAGAGTAAAATGTACTGGCATGTACTTGGAAAACAGTTACAAAATTGGACAGAGTCTGTATGGATTTATGAAAGCGAAATCATGCTTTTTGAGGATTTAACCAGTATAGTTGATAAATGAAAGCCAGTAGATGTGGTTGACTTGGACTTTCAGAAGGCTTTCAATAAGGTCCCACATAAGAGATTAACATGTAAAATTAATGTGCATGGGAATGTGGGTAGTGGGCTGATATGTGAAGAGAACTGATTGGTAGAATGGAAACAAAGAGTAGAAATAAACAGATCGTTTTTCAAATGACAGGTAGTGACTAGTGAGGTACAGCAGGGTGGAGTGCTCAGACCCCAGCTATTCACAATAAACATGAATGATCTAGATGAGGGAACTAAATATAATATCTACATGTTTTCAGATGACACAAAGCTGGGTGGGAGGGTAAAATATGAGGAGGATGCAGAGATGCTTCAATGTGATTTGGACAAGTTGAGTGAGTAGTCAAATGCATGACAGATGCGATTATAATGTGGATAAATGTGAGGTTATCCACTTTGGGGGCAAAATCAGAAAGGTGAATTATATTCAGAATGGTGATAGATTTTGAAAGGGGCAAGTGATAAGAGACTTGGGTGTGCTTGTACACCATTCACTGAAAGTAAGCATGCAGGTGCAGCAGGATGTGAAAAAGGTAAATGGTCTGTTGCCATTCATAACCTGAAGATTAGAGTACAGGAGCAGGAATGTCTCTCCTGCAGTTGTGCAGGGCCTTGGTGTGATCACACCTGGAGTATTGTGTGCAGTTTTGGACTCATTACCCGAGGGAGGAAGTTCTTGCTCTGGAAGGAATGCAATGAAGGTTTACTAGACTGATTCCTGGGATGGCAGGGATTACATGTGAAGAAAGACTGGATCGACTAGGATTATATTCACTGGTGTTTAGAAGATTGAGGGAGGAATCTCATCGAAAGTTCCTGGGAGTGATGGGCGGCACAGTGGCTCAATGGGCAGCACTGTGGCTCAGTAGTTAGCACTGCTGCCTCACAGCGCCAGCGACCCAGGTTTGATTCCACCCTTGGCCGACTGTCTGTGTGGAGTTTGCACATTCTCCCCGTGTCTGCGTGGGTTTCTTCCACGTGTTCCAATTTCCTCTCACAGTCTAAAGATGTGCGGGATAGGTGGATTGGCCATGCTAAATTGCCATAGTGTCTTGGGTTGTGCAGGCTAGTAGATTGGTCATGGGAAATGCAGGATTATAGGGATAGATGCTGTTTGGATGGTTGGCATGGACTCAATGGGCCGAATGACCAGCTTCCACACTGTAGGGATTTTATGAATCTGTCCTGGTCCACCCAATTTGACGCAACCGTCAAGAAAGCACAACAATGCCTCTACTTCCTCAGGAGGATAAGAAAATTTGCAATGTCTATAAAAACTCTTACCAATTTTAATAGATGCACCATAGAAAACATCCTATCTGGATGCATCACAGCATGGTATTGCAACTGTTATTCCCAAGAAACTACAGAGAGTTGTGAACACAGCCCAGTCCATCACGCAAACCATTAACTTGATCTATACTTCCCACTGCCTCAGGAAAGCAGCAAACGTAATCTAAGGCCCTTCCCACCCTGGTTATACTCTCATTCTTCCACTCTGCACCATCAGGCAGAATATATAAAAGTTTGAATACACATACAAACAGATTCAAAACCAGCTTCTTGCCCATAGTTATCAGACTTTTGAACGGACCTCTCAAATAATTTTGATCTCTCTCTCTGCATCTTCTTTGTGGCTGTAACACTGTATTCAGTTCTGTCCATAAAGCACGCAAAGCGATATTTTTCACTGTATCTCAGTACATGTGACATCAATGAATCAAACTCAAACTCAAAGAAACCTGTAAAATTCTAACAGGACTAGACAGCGTAAATGCAGGAAGAATGCTCCTGGTGACTGGGGAGTCTAGAACCAGGGGTCACAATCTGAGGAAATAGGGTAAGTCATTTAGGACTGAAATGAGGAGAAATTTCTTCATCCAGAGAATGGTGAGCCTGTGGAATTCTCTGCCACAGAAAGTGGTTGAAGCCAAAATATTGAATGTTTTCTAGAAGGAGTTAGATATGATTCTTAGGGCTAAAGTGGTCAAAGGGTATGGGAAGAAAGTGGGAACAGGGTACTGAGTTGGATGATCAGCCATGATCATATTGAATGGCGGAGTGTGCTCAAACATTTTCGATGATTCTATGTCTCATTATTGATGCATTGATGTTTACAGGAGAGGTAGGGATATTTCTTTGTTAAGGAAAAAGCAGTGTTGTTTGTTTTTGTTTACACTTGTTGAATGTTGGTGCTCTTTCCAAGAGATTAATCCCATTTGATTGATATTTCCATGAACACCAACTCTGTTTCTTCAGTTGTGGCATTCTTTTTAATGACAAAGCTGATTTTAAATGACTTAGTTCGTAGAAACTTTTGAGATGTCTGTTACCTCACATCCATCCAGCATGTAATGAGGAGATGTATTCTGAAAGCTGTTGAACATGTTTTTGGGTTGATTGCTTCTTTTGATCAATAAAAGAGTATAGGGTGATGGGGACAGGGCAGCAAAGGGCAGTTGAGGATTAACAGATCAACCATGGTTTCATTGAATGACAGAGCAGACTTGATGGGCCAAATGACCTACTTCTGCTCCTATGTCTTATGGATTTGTGATTTTATTTGCATTTGTTTCTGGCCTGGTGCTGAAATGGGATCTGAATGTGTATTCCATGCGAAGATGCGTTTAAACATTGGTTAAAGGATACTTTAAAAAAATTGAAATGTTCTGCTCATTTAACTTCGTAAATCATCTAAGACACCATTACAACTTAAGGAGTAACCTAGACATTTAACTGCTGGTATACTCAAAATATGTAAGAAAGCAGATGAATGTTATGGTTTGACAGCATCGTCTTTCAAAGTGAAAATGTAGAGTGGAACACCCATGTGATTTTTTTTACAGTACATGGTAATTGAGCAGTATGGCAATATAGTACTCATACAAATACATACTACGAAGCTCTAAATTGTGGTTCCTTTGCTATGGTAATCATTGGTTTACCTGAGGAAATAGTGTACTCTTGTAAATAAAAAGACAGTTGGGAAATGGCAGCAATTGTAACACTGTGATTACGCAGAAAGCATAGAGTGGTTGGGCAATTGTATTATACAAAACTGGAAAATTTGAGTTCCTTAGAAAAAGTACCAGTAGTATTATAATGTACTGTTGCATAGGATTTGAGATCTTTGCACATAATTACCCAAAATGAAACACAACATGGAATAAGTGCAGCTGTTTGGTTGCTAAATCTTTCTAACATGCACACTTTAGTTATTTTTTTTTTTGCTTTTTGTTTGCAGACCATTTCTTGTGGAGCCTATTCATGGAAACCTGGAGGTTGGGGAGAGCATTCAAGTGTTAGTAGAATTTATCCCCCAGCGAACTGGGGACCACAGTGAAGATTTGATCTTGCAATTGGATACAGGTTAGATACACATCTGCTTCAACACCAAACATCCTGTAATTTCAAACATTCGTTCAGTAGAGTGGAAACATTTTGTTATGTGGCATCTATGCTACAAGTGAAGCATTACAACTGGACCTGAGAATGACACAGTTTATTAGATCAACATCCAGTTTTGTAATGAGATAACAGGAATAGATCAGAGGCATAATTTATTAGATTATGGCTATCTGGTAATTCCAGTTGGGAAGTATGTGTTAGTCAACAATGATCACTACATTGCACGAGTTTACTACTCTTTTGGTTGTGTTTTCCCATATGATCAACTCCTGATATCAACAAGGCTGGCACTATGCAGCAACAAATTAAATGAAAAAATAGAAACTTACAGGAAAAAAGAAATGAGCTAAACCACTTCCTACAGAAAACAATTCCTCCCACTTCCTACAGAAACAATTCCTCCCACTTCCTACAGAAAGCTTAGCCGAACTCGTCCTCACCCTCAACAACTTCTCTTTCAATTCCTCCCACTTCCTACAGACAAAGGGGGTGGCCATGGGTACCTGCATGGGCCCAAGCTACGCCTGCCTCTTTGTAGGTTACGTGGAACAATCCCTCTTCCGTACCTACACCGGCCCTAAACCCCACCTCTTCCTCCATTACATTGATGACAGTATCGGCGCCGCCTCGTGCTCCCACGAGGAGCTCAAACAGTTCATCCACTTCACCAACACCTTCCACCCCAACCTTAAGTTTACCTGGACCATCTCTAATACCTCTCTCTCCTTCCTGGACCTCTTTGTCTCTATCTCGGGCAACCACCTAGAAACCGATATTCATTTCAAGCCCACTGACTTCCACAGCTACCTAGAATACTCCTCCTCCCACCCACCTTCCTGCAAAAATGCCATCCCCTATTCCCAATTTCTTCACCTCCGCCGCATCTGCTCCCAGGATGAGGCATTCCACTCCCGTACATCTCAGTTGTCCTCGTTTTTCAAGGACCATAACTTCCCCCCCTCAGTGGTCGAGAACGCCCTCAACCGTGTCTCCCACATTTCCCGCAAGTCATCCCTCACACCCCGTCCACGCAATAAGAACCAAAACAGAATCCCCCTCGTCCTCACGTACCACCCCACCAACCTCCGGATCCAACGCATCATCCTCCGACACTTCCGCCATCTGCAATCCGACCCCACCACCAAAGGCATCTTTCCCTCCCCACCCTTATCTGCCTTCCGGAGGGACCACTCTCTCCGTGACTCCCTTGTCCGCTCCACACTCCCCTCCAGCCCCACCACACCCGGCACTTTTCCCTGCAACCGCAGGAAGTGCTACACCTGCCCCCATACCTCCTCCCTCACCCCCATCCCAGGCCCCAAGAAGACTTTCCACATCAAGCAGATGTTCACCTGCACATCTGCCAATGTGGTATACTGCATCCGCTGTACCCGTTGTGGCCTCTTCTCCATCTGGGAAACCAAGCGGAGGCTCGGGGACCGCTTTGCAGAACACCTACGTTCGGTTCACAATAAACAACTGCACCTCCCAGTCGCGAACCATTTCAACTCCCCCTCCCATTCCTCAGACGACATGTCCATCCTGGGCGTCCTGCAGTGCCACAACGATGCCACCCGAAGGTTGCAGGAACAGCAACTCATATTCCGCTTGGGAACCCTGCAGCTCAGTGGTATCAATGTGGATTTCACAAGCTTCAAAATCTCCCCTCCCCCTACCGCATCCCAAAACCAGTCCAGCTCGTCCCTGCCTCCCTAACCTGTTCTTCGTCCCACCTATCCTCTCCTCCCACCTCAAGCCGCACCCCCATCTCCTACCTACTAACCTCATCCCGCCCCCTTGATCTGTCCGTCCTCCCTGGACTGACCTATCCCCTCCCTACCTCCCCACCTACACTCACCTTTACTGCCTCCATCCCCGCCTCTTTGACCTGTCCACCTATCTTCTCCTCTATCCATCTTCTATCCGCCTCCCCCTCTTTCCCTATTTATTTCAGAACCCCCTTCCCCTCCCCCATTTCTGATGAAGGGTCTAGGCCCGAAACGTCAGCCTTTCTGCTCCTGTGATGCTGCTTGGCCTGCTGTGTTCATCCAGCTCTGCACCTTGTTGTCTCGGATTCTCCAGCATCTGCAGTTCCTACTATCTCTGAGCAAAATAGCTGTTGTATCCTATATCTCTGTGTGTTAATTTATCCTGTGATATCTGGATTTGGAGCAGTTCGGAGGGGGAAGGAGAGCACAATAAGAAATGATATATAGAAACAAAATAGGTAATATTAACATTCATATTAATCTACTACCCAATAATTTTTCAACATTGAATATTTATTTGTGATAATTTTCTTGTTTACTTTCTTTCTTGTTGGCGATTAAATGATTTACAATCCAGTGTTTGTCCTAACACCCACAACAAGAACTAAAGTTGTTAAATTGAATTTCACAACTTGATGTAGTGGGATTTTAACTCATAACCTCGGAGTTTGTAACTCAGCACCCTTACCACTAGGGGCCCACCACTGTAGGAATACATTGAATATTCATTTGCTAATGTTGATAACAGTAACAGTAATAGTTTTCAGGCTGTAATCCAGTGAATGTGCATTTATTGATGGAACTTGCAACTTTGGCAGGGGCATAAAATTGCTAGTAGCAGGTCAGTACCCCACGATACACCCCAGCTAAAATTGTGCAGTGTCTATTAAGGGTGACTGATCTGCTCATTCTCTCTCAGGTTGTGCATCATTCTTCAGATAAAAAAAGCACATGTGGTATATTTTTTGGTCTGTGTGAGTGCTACTGATCAATCAAGTGTAAGGAGATGAAGAGAACTGCCAAAGCGATTTACATGTTGATTTCTGTTCTTCCCTGTGAAATACAGCATAATGAAGCCTTTTGTTCAGGGCTTTGATGACAACAACTGAGCTGATGCTCATAACATAATATGCAAAAAAACTTTGGCAAGTCTATTTACATCCTATTGCTCCATACAATGTGTATTATTAGCAGAGGCACTTTACTAATCTGAAATGAAGATTCCTCAACCTTCTGAGTTAAGATGTATTTAGTTCCCATTTCTTTCTCATAGTTTGGACAGACTTCAGTTACATTGGCAAAATTGCCAATAGGGTTGCAAAAGTTGAATGCACTGTTGGAATTCAATTACAAGCTCCTATTCTTTCCTTTTATCCTGTTGGCAGTGTTTCTTTGTTTGCAGCTTGTGCAGAACATCAGTACATCTGATCTGAAGATCAGTATAATGGTGATTTAGTTCTGTTGTGCACAGTTGCTAGGGCAAACTGAATTTTTCTTTATCTTTATCTTCAAGTGAATGAAGAATGAAGAGTGAATTGTCTCCGTAATGCTCTGCTTAGACCTAGCTATTTGCTAAGTAGGGCTGACTAGGGAGCCCAATTGGTAGGACTGGTGGTTTGAAATTTATTAATAGAACTGGGCTGATGTTCCAGTAAACAGGTACATTCTGGCCTGCCTCCAGAGGAAGCGGCCTAATTCTGAGGAAGGGTCACCAGACCCCAAAAGTTAACTCTGATTTTTCCTTCACAGATGCTGCCAGACCTGCTGGGTTTTCCAGCAACTTTGTTTTTGTTCCATCCCAGCCCTGCCTTCCGGGCGCAAAAATACAATGCGCTAGGATCTTCATGAAGGATTTAGATCTGCTGAGTTCAGTAGTTTTCCAACACAATCCTACCGCCTCATCCAGGAAAACCCAGCTAATAGTTACTCTGTCTGAATTCTGAAGTACTTTCCAAGTATGTTTGTATAGATGCTTTTGACCTCTTCCTCTGGAGAGCTATCCAGAGTTCAATGACAGCACTACTGATGTGAGGTAATACAATGCAAATTTTGAAGCTGCAAGGTGATATAGAGCAGCTTGTACTTTGATAAGAGATCAGAATTCCCTCAGTTTGTATGTTGAAGCCATTCTGTTAGTTGACTTAGTTTTGAGATTTTGTTGTCTGTGAATCTATTTCATCATTGGCAAGCTCAAGCTTATATTTTTAGAGTTGGATTTTAAATATGCAGTAGAGCTATGCACTTGGTTTGTGCAGAATCATGTCTACCTTAATTTTAGTGGTGTTGTGTGGGTTGACACTTTGCCAGTAATAGGATTTGAGATTTGTAATTTGCGGCCTTCAAGTTTGAATTCCAAGAAGTAAATTAGATGAACTTTCAGTTCTCCCATAGGGAGAATTAAATTGCTGCTTAACTATTTATTCGGCGCATCTCTCAGAATTAAATTATTTTCTGCAGCAAGGGGCTTTTGCTATTTTGCTTTTTTTCTCCCAGGGCTGTCTAATTCACAAGCTAAAGCAATATTAGAGATAGTAAGAACTGCTGATGCTGGAGTCAGAGATAACACAGTGTGGAGCCGGAGGAACACAGTGGGCCAGGCAGCATCAGAGGAGCTGGAAAGTTATTTCTGAAGGAGGGTCCCGACCCAAAACGTCAACTTTCCTGCTCCTCTGATGCTGCCTGGCCCGCTTCACACTGTGTTATCTAAAGCAATATTTATTTTCACGTGTGTCAAAATTATGTTACTTACAGTAACAGAAACTGTTATCCTTAAAAAATAGAATCACCTTGTTATTTTGGCAAATGTCTAAAAATAAAGAGCCTTAATTTGTGTACCGCTTTTCACAACCTAAGGAGGTCCCAAAACATTTTAATACTAATAAAGAGCTTTTGATGTCAGTCATATGATAACAGTGGAAATAACACAGAAAGTTGACAAATAACAAGATCCCAGCAATGAGACAAATGAACAAAGTCTGTCTTTCTGTGGTCGCTGATGGATAAATGGTGAGAACACCAAACGATGTTTGTTGTTCTTCAAATAATACCATAGGATATCACTTGAGCTAGCAGAAGGATGATTGATTTAATGTTTCCCTCAGTTACAAGCACCAGCACTGTCTGAAATATAGCACTTCTAACATTAAAACACTACCTCAACTCTGCAGTCAGGTAGATTAACTGTTGTTTCTT